TTTTATTTTCTTTCACCATCACTCAATCAACCATCAAGCCAATACTATGTAATTTAGGTTTGCTTTACAAATAGCACCACAATTTTAGTTATAAATGTCTATACCAGTCAGGAGAGACTAGGTCAGACTGCAATAGTAAAAGAAAAGCCAAAAATAACAGTCAATAAAAATAAAAGTTCATTCCTCATTGCTACTACATGTTCAGTTTGGGTCGGCCTAGAGGCTCTGCCTGTTATAATCACTCAAAGATCCAGGCTGACAGAAGCCCAATTCCCACAGATTTTTTTCAAAGATTATGAGTCAGGTAAAGATGAATATGACAAAGCACATGGGTCACTAAAGCTTCCACCTACAGTTCATTGACTAAGCAAGTTAAATAATGATACCTATAAGTCACGTGATAACACATAACTCAAAAAAAGATAGGAAAGTGAAATTCTACAATTGCCTAGCAGGATAATCAGACATATTCGATGTAAGACAATTATGAATAAACAGCTTTAGAAGGTAAAATTAATAACAAATTTCTGAAATGTAGGAAATAGTTTCTAAATATTTTGAGTGGTTACAAAAATAATGACAAATATTTTCTTAAGTATCTAAAATTATTACTCTCAAATATGTACCTCTAATAGTTCTTAGAAAATATGTTTTCATTTCTTAGCTTAGTATAAATTGAAAATAAAAACTATATATCATTTGTTGAATCATATTTGATGTAGTAATTTTATGCTATGGTAGATAACCCCAGGGTGTCCACCAATAATTCCTGTTTCCTGGTGTGCACACCTGTTTGTAATCCTCTTCCCTGGAGCATGGGAGACATCTGTAACTTGCTTCTAACTATAAAATATGTCAAAAGACATGAAATATCACTCCCTTGATTATGTTATCTCACATAAAGCTCTGTCTAAGCAGACAAATGAGACACTCTTCTGCAAGCCTTGGAGAAACAAACAGCCGTGTTATAAACTTCCTATAGAGAAGGTCACATGACAGGGAATTGTGGGTGCCCTCTGCCCTCTGAGAACAGCCTTCAACTGAAACTCTCAATCATACAATCAGAAGGAAATAAAATCTCCCAACAATCTTAATGAGCTTGAAGGTGTATTCTTCCCCAGTCATGCCTCCAAGTGAAAATGCAGCCAATACCTTGATTACAATTTTATGAGACACTGAACTAAGCTATGCCTAGAATCTTGCTTTGTGAAAACTAAAATAATAGATGTGTTTTGTTTTAAACTGAAAAGTGTGAGGTAATTTGTTAATACCACAATATACTTGTTTATGGCAATTCAACTTCACTATCCTTATTTATCTTTTGCATTGTTTTCCTCACTTTTTTATTTGAAACTTTTTCTTGATATTATTAAACTTTACAGAATAGTTGCAGGAATGCTGCAAGAAAATCCAATATACCATTGACCCATGTTCACCAGTTGTTTCTATTTTGCCCATTTTCATCCTCTCTCTTGCCTATATATGTGTGTGTGTGTGTGTGTGTGTGTGTGTATCTGTGCCTGTGTGTACCTTTTTTTCTGAACCATTTGAGAGTAAATTGAAGAAATACCTCCTTATTCCTAAACATCTCAGTGCATATTTCCTTCCCCTAACAAAAAATGGAATTTGCTTACAAGACAGTTGTGAAAGGAAATTAAATCTTGGGACCCCAAACTCATTTAAATCAAAGGGAAAAGTCAAGCTGAGAACTGGGTTATGCAAACCTTCCTTCCCACTTTGGTTCATAAATAAGATGGCTACAAGATGAAAAGGTACATACGTCCTCCATATTTTGCCTAAGGGAAATTCTCAGTGAGCTGCAAGGTCTTTAAGGTGTTTCTATTAAAATTTTGTCATGGCAATGTAAATTGGTAGCTTGGTTTTACAGTTACAACCATTCCCCCTGCCTGCCAGACACAAACGCGTATCTGATTGCTCCTCTGTCCCTTTCTACGTCATCTTATGCAAAATGCAGATTCACTGGACCAGACAAAGGCATGAATGACTATTTTTCCCTACCCCTTCTTAAATGAAAATTGTGTATTTCTCAATATTCTGCCCTTTCCCTTTTAAATTTGGAGCCTTCAAAATCATCTCGTGAGAAAGGTATAGACCTCTTTTCTGGGTACACATCCTTAACTTTGGCAAATAAATCTGCTAAAATGATTGAGACTTGTCTCATCATTTATCTCAATTAACACAGCATTTTTTTAAATGATATGTTTATTTTTCTAATCTATAGTTAATATTCAAATATCATAAATTATATGGAAAAAGTGCTTTTTTTGAGACGGCCTCTCACTCTGTCTTCCAGGCTAGAGTGAAGTGGTGCAATCTCAGCTTACGACAGCCTTGACTTCTTGGACTCAAGTGATTTTCCCACCTCAGCCTCCCAAGCAGCTGGAACTACAAGTATAAGCCACCATGCCCAGCTAATTCGTGATTTTTGTCTAGAAGTGGCTTTCCCATGTTGACCAGGGTGGGTCTCAAAACTCCTGAGCTCAAGGAATCCACTTGGCTTGCCGTCCCAAAGTGCTGGGATTACAGGTGTGAGCCATTGTGCCTGGCCAAATAAAGTACATTGTAGCTAGCATTTTTTCTCTGCCAATCCAGGACTCACTTTAAGATCATGTCACATCACTTTGGTTTTCTTTACTCTGGAATTGTTTCTTGGCCGAACTCTATCATTTGTGACTTGACATTTTTGAAACATACAGATCACTGTTTATTTGAGGCTTCCTCATGATTGAATTCAACAATTGCATTTGGGCAGGAATATTACAGAAGTGTTGTGTTCCTTATATCCCGACATTACCTCCTTATATAGAAGTCACATGATATCTGCATGTGGGTTGTTTCTGGTGTGAGAATATAATGAAACAATATGTTATGAACATTCTTATCTGAGTATTTTTATCATTTTTATTTATTTTGGGTACATATCTAGAAGTTTAATTGCCATTTCATAGAACATGGGTATGTTTACTCTGATAAGAAACCACCAAACCTTGTTCTAAATGTGCCTTTGGAGTATAAAATTTACACCCACACTTCCTAGCTATTTCAACTGTTTATAACCGTGCCAACATTTTTGTCAGCCATTTGAATTTTAGACACTCCAGTAGGTTCGTCTTGGCACTTCACTTACATTTTAACCTGTTTTCCTTAGACCTGATGATGTTGAGCACATTTTCATGTGCTTATTTGTTATTTATATAACATCCATTGTGAAGTGTCTGTTCAAATCTTTTGCTCATTTTTAGCATTGGATGTTTCTTTACCATTGAGTTGTAGAAAATCTTTATAAATTCTGGACATAAGTTCTTTGTCAGATGCATGTTCTGCAGACATTTTCCCCAAATCTGTGACTTGTCTGTTCATTTTCTTAACAGCCATTTCATAAGCAGAAGTTTTTAATTTTGATGAAGTCAAATTTATCAATTTTTTTCTTGTTATTACTTTCTGTATTTTTATTGTATTTTGCGGTAAAGTGTGCAGATTTTTTAGCTATCTTAAATTATTTCCTAAAGAAGAAGATTGATAATGATTTTAATAACGTGTCGATAATTTTTAATTATTTTATTCTATTTAGCTTTTTCTTTATACTTTGTCTAATCCAATAGTTTTCAACTAGAGGCTATTTAGACTCCTAGGAGTCTAAAAAAAGAATGCTGTTAGCATCCAGAACATAGAGGTCAAGGATGTTACTAAACATCCTACAGAGAATAGTCCCCTACAACAAAGAATTATGTATCCCTAAATCTCAATAGTGCCAGTATTGAGAAACGTTTGTGCAGTGTGTAATCTGAATTTGAGAAAAAGTGTGGGAGAAACATTACACAAATCTTGGTTTTATTAACTTACAACTGAGATGATTACAAGTCTGAGCCAATGAAAAGAAAGCATGACTCACATGCAAGTGCCTAAGTTGATCTGAAGTCACCACTGAGACTTCCTTGGTTATAAAAATCTAAACCAATGCTTTTCACAACTAAAAAAAAAAAACAAAACAAAAACAAAAATGAGAGCAGATTTGCCTCTTATAGAAGGAGTCACATTAGTAAAGGGTTACCGCTCAAGCTAAATTAAAACAAATCAGTGACATTCCACTCTCCATTATGTGCACAAATCTCCCATAAAAATCAATGAAAGCCACATATGTGTAACCGTGACCAGAATGCAGCTAATTCCAGCTCTAACTTGCTATTCCTTCCAGGGCTCATAAACCCCACAATTGTTGCTCAGAAACAAGAGGACCCTGTGATGAATACAGCAGCTCAAGCCAAATCCTGGATGAATTGTCCAGATCATTCTGTTCTCTGGTTTATTAGGCAGCTGAGGAATCTTAAGGTTCTGGATGTGATCACAACTAGAGCAGAACTCCAGGGAATAATCCTGAATCAAAGGAAAAGCCACTGCACTTATAAAAACAGTCTATTTTTCCCAATTATCAAAGTGGACTATATTTACTGCAGAAACCCTAAAAGGATAGAAAACTCTAAATAAAAATACTACCTATGAATTCATCATCCAGAAGCCATCACTGTTACCTTTGGCAGTTTGCTTTTTAGGTAAAATTTGACTGTATTATTTATTTTTTTACTTAAAGTCTAGGTTTACACATAATTTTGGACCCAGGCTCTTTTATAGAACATTTCCCCATGGGGTTAAAAAAGCTTTGAAGTATTAAGTGTTTTGTTTGGTGTTTGTCTTTTTTTTTTTTCCTTTTTGGAAAAAGAAGTCTCTCACTGTATATCCCCAGCTGGTCTTGAACTCCTGGGCCAAAGTGATCCTCCTGCTTTGGTCTCCTAAGTAGCTAGAATTATTACTTTGGTGTGCATTTTACTAGTCAGTTACCAGATTTTACCATAATATTTTAACGAATTGTTTATTTCATTTTGGACGTTCAGATTGCTTATTTGCCACCATTCCAGATAACACAATAGTAACTAGCTGTGTGTAGATATATGTCTCCACATTTTGTATTTTTTTTTTCAATGATTTGCTTATTTATTCTTTGTTAACATGAGAGTCCCATGTCTGAAAACCAAAGTCAAATTTCTGTCTGGCCTTTTGTCTCATCTCTCTTGGCAAAAGTATCTTTTAAAATGATTTTAAAAATGCTGAGTAACAGAAAAGTATTAATGTGCTTGACACCATGACTGAAATGCCATGATCTTGTTTGTCAATAAAAAGCAGCTATCTGTGAACCAGGTAACTGTTGTTTTGGAAGGAAATCTGTTTATTAAGTGAGTCATAAACAAGCCCTGTAGAGAACACAGGTGCTAGGTTGACAGACTCATCTTTTGTAGGACATTTCTTCCTGCTAAACAGTACCTGATGGGCTTGATTTTTTTTTTTTTTTTGTAAGTTGACACAGGGTTACTATGTAATTGGTAAGTATACCTTTCTCAAGACAGTTGATGGTAGCTTTCCATTGTTTTGCTTCACAAACATCAACACAAAGTAAACCTGAACATGCTTAGCAATTTCACAAAGTGCTTTGCTGACATTACTTTTGACATACTGTGTCAAAATTCTTACGGTCTCCCCTCCTTTGGTAAAGTAGGCAAAACCTTACAAGGTAAACACTATAATACACAGAAATACATTGAATTAGATTTCCAGTCACCTGCTCTATGGCTGAGATGCACTACATCCATACTGGTTCCTAGGACTGTGTCCACCTGATGGTTTAGAGTATGTAAAACCAGACACTATGGCTTAAAAGTCATCTCCTGTGAAAGACAATGCTGGCCTTCTGAATGCTGGGTCTCATGGGTTTGTAGATGTGGCTTTCTGCTGTGCCAGGATCTCCTGGCAGCTCCTGTATACTTCAATCAAGCAATCCAGCCGGGGCTTGGCACTCTGGAAGATAGGTACTACTTGGGATATCCCATGTGGTTCCACTGGATCCTTCAGTAAGATGCAGAGGTAATAAATCACCTTTTGCATGTAAATAGCCTCATTGATGACAATATCCTTGACCTTGCCCATCTCTATGAAGGTAGTACTTTCTTTGCCTGAAGCATAAGATGAAGTCATCTGAATGCCAAGAGAATCAATGATTAACAGAGTCTCCTGGTCAATCTTCACAAAATGGAGATAACCAAGCAGACCTACGAGGGTGATGAAGATGGCAGCAGAGAGGATCATGCTGTTCTCGCAGAGGCTGAAGAGTCTGTAGGCCACCAGCCACACCGTGCAGGTGACAGCGGTGAGCGAACGCAGCGAGAGCCGAGGGCAGCTGAGGCAGAACTCCCGGCAGGACGGGGAGTAGTAGCCGCGCTGCAGGGCCAGGCGGCCGCCGCAGATATCCGAAAAGCTCCGCTCATCCTCCATGACTGGCTTGCCGGCACTCGGCTGCCCCTTGTATTATTTTTAAGTATATAATCTATAAGGGTAATTCCAGGAGTATAATTTACACTATTTTAGATACTTTATATGAAATAAATTAATATTAGCATACCTAATAGAGCCAGTAGATTATAATCAACACTGTTTAAGACTCTTTATATGAAATAAATTAATATTAGTGTATGTAATAGAGCCAGTATAGTTAAAAATCTGATAGGTTGATAGTGAGATTATGGCAATATACTGCTCTGGGGAAGGTAAATTGATGCAATTTGATGCCATCCGGAGAGCAGTATATCGCCCCTCATCTCACCACCAACCCAGCAGCTTTTTAACTCTACTGGCTCTATTCGGAATGCTAATAATAATTGATTTTATATTCTCCCCCTCAGAAGGAGGTGACAAGAGAAGGGATTTCAGCAAATCAGTCTGTTAGGAATAATTTAGGCTTCAGTTGATAATAATGCATAATATTTTGCTGTCAAATATCAAGACAGGAAACACAGAATTGTAACAGCCTAGAAAATACTGATCTAAAAAATAAGTTTGGCTTTTGGGGTAAGAAAAGTTTAGCTTTCACACAATTTTTAAAAAGATCTCGGCCAGGTGCGGTGGCTCACACCTATAATCTCAGCACTTGGGGAGGCTGAGGCGGGTGGATCACGAGGTCAAGAGATCAAGACCATCCTGGTCAACATGGTGAAACCCCGACTCTACTAAAAATACAAAAATTAGCTGGGCATGGTGGCGCACACCTGTAGTCCAGCTACTAGGGAGGCTGAGGCAGGAGAATTGCTTGAACCCAGGAGGCGGAGGTTGTAGTGAGCTGAGATCGTACCATTGCACTCCAGCCTGGGTAATAAGACCGAAACTCCGTCTAAAAAAAAAAAAAGGATCTCTAAGTACATTCACATATATGTAATCAAATACAATAATTTTTAAAAATCAATCTTCCTGTATGTGAAGAAAAAAGACAAAAAATCATGGTTGGTATTGTTTCCTGCAGTAGTGAAAGGATCTGAACTTAAATATGACTAGTGTGCACAATTCAGTTGTGTTGATGAGCATCAGAATGGGTGTTGAGAACTAGAAAATGATCATGTGAGAGGAATAAACAGTCTCTGACAGCATGAGTTTGAGTGTTTTCACCTACTGGGGCTCAGAAAACAATATTTTAAAATATGCTGCTTCAGAATTCAAACTGATTGAACCTAGACAGCAGCAAATGCAGAGAAGGGTTTTCTCTGAAGTTTCCTATCTACCTAAAGGCCAGAACCCCCACAAGATATTCAACTGTGTGAATCCCTTCTCCAGATATCTCATCAACCAAGGGAAATTGATGCATAACTCAGGAAGGAAAACTAAGTTGACCCTATGTCAGTTCCCTGTCCTGGGCTTTTGTCTGTTCTTTAGACTCATTCATCTCCCTTAAAAATCATTTACTCTTCCCCTGAAATTGTCTACATCCCCCACTTCCCTATCCCCTATGAAGACAGCATTTAAATTTCAACCATCTGGTACTTCTTTGAGTTTCACACTTTGTTTGACTCCTGTGTGCTTGCACATTAATGAATTTTTGTATCTTTTCTCTTGTTAGTTGACCTATTGTTAGTTTATCTCAGCAGATTCAGTTATCAAACCTTGAGAAAGCAGAGGAGAAACTTCTTTTGATCCAACACACTTACAGCCTCAATTCCAGGAAGACAAATTGCTTTGACTACGGTTCTTTTTTCCCCATAACACACATTTAACTATATTATACTTTCCCTGGGAAATAGAAATGAGAAAAAGACTAAGAAAAGAAAAACAAGATAGAAAGAAAAAAAGATGGTCTTTAGGATAACAACAACAATTTAAAAATCAGTGTAGGACATTGGGAGAGAGAAAAAGCCATCAAAGTAATATCGAAAGCTGAAGACGCTGGGCGTGGTGACTCATGCCTGTAATCCCACCACTTTGGGAAGCCAAGGTGGGAGGATCACTTGAGCCCAGAGGTTAGAGACCAGCCTGAGTAACATAGTGAGACCTAATCTATACAAGCCCCCCTTCCAAAATGTAGGCGAGCATGGTGGCAAGCACCTGTAGTCCTACCTACTCAAGAAGCTGAGGTGGGAGAATCACTTCAGCCCAGAAGGTCAAGGCTGCAGTGAGCCATGATTGTAAGACTTTACTCCAGCCTTGGTGACAAAGCGAGACCCTGTCTTAAAAGAAAATAAAAAGCCGGGCACGGTGGCTCACACCTGTAATCCCAGCACTTTGGGAGGCGGAGACAGGTGAATCACTTGAGGTCGGGAGTTTGAGACCAGCCTGACCAACTTGGAGAAACCCCACTTCTACCAAAAATACAAAATTAGCTGTGCGTGGTTGTTCTGTGGATACAGAAGTCTGGAACTTAAGGAAAAGGTTAGTGCTAGAGATTTCTATTTCTGAGTCATCAGTATACAGATGTATTTAAATCTGGAGGATTAACACAGATCACATAGAGAGTTCATGTAGATAGAGAAAGGGGAGCAAAGGTTAATGACCCCTTAAAAATGCCAAATTTGCAGCAGAGGAAGAAAAAGGGAACTAACAAAATAAACTTAGAGGAATGATCAGGGAGGTAGAAGTAAACAAAGAGTGTATGGTGTTGTGGAAACCAGGACAGGCTCCTGAAGTTTTAATTGACATGCTTTACTTTATAATGAACAGTTATACTTTTCTAATAAAAATACAATTTTAAAGCACAGAAACAATTTCAACTTCTCTGTAACAATGCTCCACACCAATTTTTAAACTTGCGATGAAAAAGTTGAGGAAACAACTTGTAATTTGGTCTGAGATATATTCTCTCTTTCCTAGCTTAGGAAGAAATCCTCAGAACAATATCTCCAGAATTCTGTAATTCACTGGATAAGAAGATAATGGATGCAATAAATGGAAATTATCATATAAATGCCAACTTCTATTACTATATATGAAATAAATTCCCCATGTGACTATAAAGTTACAAAAAAAGGTATAACTTTATCATCCAGTTTGGAAAGATCAATACAAGAGATTAATAGCATTTTTATTGAAAGTTAGGTCCCATGTGATTGTTAGGTAATAGAAAGCGGGTTTGGAGAATTTACATTATAGAAAATGTAAATAAATTAAATTGATGAGCTCATACCTGATAAGTAATATACCAAAAAAATACAAACAGATTATGAAATCCCTTTGAAACAATTGACAATAAATAGCCATTACTTGTAGCCTAGCAGAATATTCTGCATGCAAACAGGCATAGGAATTCTTGTTAGATTAGTAATAAGTATTACAGATTAAGCAAGGCAAAATCTTTAGCTCACAAGGAGATATATTCTTCTCCTTAATTTTTATAATTTTTATTTTAAAGAAAGATTTATAATGGCCACATTTTTAGTTCGTATAGCATGTTTTCCCAGTCAGACTTTGCAGAGACATGGATGAAGCTGGAAACCATCATCCTCAGCAAACTAACACAGGAACAGAAAACCAAACACCTCATGTTCTCACTAATAACTGGGATTGGAACAATGAGAACACATGGACACAGGGAGGAGAACATCACAAATGGGACCCGTCAGGGCGTGGGGAGCAAGGTGAGAGGGAGCTTTAGGACAAATAGCTAATGCACGCGGGGCTTAAAACCTAGATGACGGGTTGATGGAGGCAGCAAACCACCACAGCACATGTATCAAACAAACCTGCACATTCAGCACATGTATCTCAGGACTTAAAGTAAAATAAAAATAAATTTAAATTTAAAAATTACTTCATATTTATTTATATCTTGCTTTATTTACAACATACACAAAACAAAATTGCACAAAACACAAACAAATTAATTCAGAACATAAGAGGCAAAGGAAATTAAGGGGAGAAAAATGGTAATTTCACTAGTAACACTGTATCACAGAAATTTAAACCATTCTGTCATGTATACGCCTACACAGACTCACAAATTTGGATTTACATTTCTAAGTCATCACAACAAAGAGGGAAAAAATCATAAGAGTTATAGTCTACATTAAAAACAAACTAACTTCAAGTGAATACTCACACTTTAATTCCATGACAATGGTGTAATTGATACATTCCTGACTACAAGATACTCCTACTACCCATTTTACAGTGCTACTGCATTCCTTAAAATATTTTCAATAATGTTCTATTGTCTTAAAATAAAATCCAGATTTCATAACATAGCTTACAAGTTCTTCATGACCAATTTTTCTTGAATCATCTCTTTTTCTCCCAATCTCCATCATCTGTCTCCAGCCAGATAATAAATTTTGGTCCTGACAGTGCACCAAGCTGTCTTGCTTTCACCTGTGACCTTTGCACTCGTCCCTACTCGGAAGAAAGACCTCATCTTCACCTGGGTAACTCCTCAGTATTTAGGACTCAGTTTATTCCTCTGGAAAACTTACTTTGACTCACTTCCTCTTGTTCAAAATTCTCAATGTAGCATTTTACAATACACTGAACTTTCTTCTGCCATAGGCTTTACTATTCTTTAATCACTTTTCTTTATTACTCAACTGTCTGTCTCTATGACTACTCTGCACTCAAGGCTTTTTGTTTTCAAAGTATGGTCCTTAGATCACATCTGAGGTGCTTGTTTGAAAATACATATTTTCGATTCACAACCACAGACCTGAATTAGAATGTTGAAACTGCCTTTAAAAAATTATAGCTGAGGAAATTATGACAGTGAAAAAGATGAAACCTAACCGACTCCATCTTCCTTCTAACATTTCCGCTGTCCTTACTCATTTCTGGACATGGGCTGAAGTAACCTTGGAAAGTAATTTAATTTATAGTTTGACTTTGAAACAAAATTGATAATAGCCCTTTCCTGAAAAGGCCCCCTTCTTACCTGGGACCAGTCTGCCTCTGTAGGACTAACAAATTAGCTATAAGATTAGAAATTACTGTTTAGGGGTTATGCAGCCTCTGGCTGCAAGAGTCTGAACCTCCCCAAAGTGCTCCTGGGGATAATATTACTATTGTAAAGCCTAAGGTCAGTGCATGATAGATTTTGCAGACCCTGCCTCAGTGGATCAGCTTACACCACCCAGACCAGTAATCTGGCTCAACCAGTTCTGTGATCTCACCCTGGAACAGAAAACAGCGAGGAAATCTCACTTGGATCCCCACTACAATTCCATCTGCAACCTGACCAGTTATCACTCCCCACTTCCCAAGGCTCTACCTGCCAAATTATCTTTAAAAACTCTGATCCCCCAATGCTCAGGGAGACTGATTTGAGTACTAATAAAGCTCTGGTCCCACACAGCTGGCTCAGTGTAAATTACTCTTTCTCCACGGCAATCCCCCTGTCTAGGGGAGCTAATCTAGATAAACTGGCTCTGTTTAGGCAGTAGCAAGGTGAATCTGTTGGGTGGTTACAATGTCTGTGAATGGAACATGATAACTTGCTATTTTAACATACATCCTAGACTAGTGATGTCCAATCAAAATATAATGTGAGCCGCAAATACAAATACCTTATATAATCTTAAATTTTCAAGCAGCCACATTATAAAAGATAAAAAGAAACATATGAAATCAACTTTACTATTATATTTAACCCAATTACAGTTAATGTTTATTAACATTTCTATTAATAATTGTTATAGCGATTACGTGTTGAAATATTATTTCAGCAAGTAATCGCTATAAAAATTAACAATGGAAATTTTGCATTTTTCCATACTAATGCTTCAAATTTCAGTGTGTAATCTATATTTACAATATACCTCAATTCACTAGCCACATTTCAAGTGCTCATTAGCCATATGGAACAAATGGCTACCATTATAGACAGGATAACTCC